AAGAAGAAGAAGAAGAAGAAGAAGAAGAAGAAGAAGAAGAAGAAGAAAGAAGAAGAATAGGGATGAGAAGAGAACACACACAAAGCAGCCCTAGATGATTTGCTTAAATTCTTGCCTTGCTGTTGAGACTTGGAAAGGAAAATAGTTTAAGTTTATTTCCACACAGGGGCGCTGAAGCACGTTTTAATGCAGCAAAATGAATGAATACAAAACCCCTGAAAGGTGGAATTCACTTGCTTTCTTTTATCCCTCCCCCTCATTTACGATATAAGCATCTTAAAAGTTACTGGTTCCCTACATCTTAGTCCATACCCTTCCTATGTGGAGGATGAAAGGGGATGTTAGGTAAATCAGTTTGATGTGTTGGTGATGCATTGGGGAGGGTAGCATTATAGAGAATTGTCTCAAAATATTATCCTGGGCCTTACCTTCTCAGCTTATAGCACTTAGCAAGAATCGCTTTGTTTTCGTCCTTTTCCATTTCTAGGAAAAGAAACGAGAAGTTAGGGCTTTGTTAGCAACATCGCTTGGTTTATGAGTAACCTCTCTCGAAGCTTACCCATTAACCCCTCCCCTACAGAGATCTATCCTCAGGCTTCCATCCCATCTTCTTCTTGGCTAATCCTACCTCTTCTCCTCGTAAAATTAAGTGTTTTTGTTGTTGCCGTAAGTTCCTCTGTAAAACCCCCTGGGAACAACGAGGAGGAGCACTTAGACCCACCGAAAAGAGAAATGAACAGAAAGAGGGGAGAGGATTAACAGGAGAGAAAAGCAACGTGCTTCGAATGTGGGCTCCTAGTTCAGCTTAGCTTCCACCTCTTCTTCCTCCTCTGAGTTTCCCACCGCCCTTTTCCCCAAATTCATATCTCCCTCCCTTACACGCATGCTTTCAGCAACCTCCGCTTCTCTCTGCATACTGTTGGTATGCGCCCTCCGAGGGTGTCGTGCCGCTGCCCAATCCCACAGCGCCCCTGAAAGCTGTCCCCCAGGAGCTGCCTCTTCTGTCCCTTGACCCTACCCCACCCTTTCGAGCGGTTTCTCTTTTTCTCTAGGCTAGTGTTCTTTTCCCCACTGAATCCCGAACCACCCGGGCGCCATTATCCCAGCAGAGGTTGGGGGGGAGAAGGAAGATTTGGGAGGGGGGGACTAGAGGGAGCAGGAGAAAGGATTAGGAGAAGGGGTGCGAGAACTAGGGGAAGGGAGTCAAGGCAGACTCCAGGGGGAGAGGGTGTGGGGGACCCAAGAAGAGAAAGAGCGTGAAGACTGGCTTTGGATGTTTTCTGGTCTCTAGATGGTGCCAAATTTCTTGGAGCCAGGGCATTTTCCCTCCCTTATTCTGCCCCCTCCCCTTTGATTAGGGCACTTGCAACGGGATAGGAAAAAAAAAGAAACCAAACACACATATCCATCAGCTCCCCCCCTCCTTGTTTAGATGTGCTGAGAGAGAGAGAGAGAGAGAGAGAGAGAGAGAGAGAGAGAGAGAAGCCCAGCGGTGACTTCAGTGTGGCATGCTGTAGGGAGCAGCAACGGCCTCCTGGTTTTTCTGTTTTGGGGGGTGGGGGGAGGGGGGAGGGAGATAGTCAGAGAGAAAGACGGAGGAAAAAACAAAAAAGAAAAAGCTATAGAGCGTTTGACTGATGGCTTCGCTCTACCAGAGATTCACAGGCAAGATCAACACCTCTCGGTCTTTCCCGATACCCCCCGAGGCAAGTCATCTTCTAGGCGGCCAGGGCACTGAGGAAGAAAGCAGTGGGGCTGGGGGTAAGCCCCCCAGGCCCCCAGCGCCGTCGGCACCCCAAGACCATGGCGCAGGCGGCCGGCCCCGGTTCCAGTACCAGCCCCGGAATGACTGTGAAGAGGAAGATGTAAGACTATCTTTCTTTGTTGGTGACCGTGGCGGTGTTGGCGGTGGCGGTGGCTTTTGAAAAGCTAGCTTACGATATGCGTTTTCTGGGAGTACCTTCTTGATAATCTTTAAACCAACCTTCCTTCCTTCCTTCCTTCTTCCGTTTCTTCCCCCCCCCCCGCCTTCTTTCCTTCTATTTCTCTCTCCTCCCCCTTCCCCTCCCCGAAGCTCCCACAAATGTCATCTTTGTACCGAATATCGGTCATCCCCTCCCCTGGCAATGGGTGCCTGGCAGCGACGTCGGGCCAGGAGTTTGGGTAGTGTGTGTATGTTTTCCCGGGGCTCTTGTGAGCCCCGGTGTGAGTTACTGGGTTTATTTTGTTTGTTTTTCTTTAAACCGTATCGGTATAGCCCTATGGAGGGAGGCCACGGCTCTGCCTCTGCCTGTAAGTTTGTGTGTGTATGCGTGTGTGTGTGTGTGTGTGTGTGTGTGTGTGTGTGGTGTGTGTTTCCTATCTTTTTACGTCTCATGAATGATGAAGTCGTGGACTCTGTTTTTCCCCTTTCGTCCTCTGCTTCCCCCTCCCTCAGACTCTTCTTACTCCTTGAGTATAGACAGTATCCCATTCTTCTACTCACTTCTTTCAAATGAAGCTGGTGTCTAGTTTTGTTTTGTTTCATTATTATTTTTCAATGATCGTCATTTGTTATATTCGGGACCAGAAACCTATAACCACCCTTGCTCTGGTCTGAGGTCCCAGAGCTCAACGCGCGCTCGGTAGATAGGTTTTACCTCTGGTACTCAGCCCCTTTCTTTGCCTTGGACGGACAACTCAACATTAGACTGTATTAAGTGAAAACTTCTCCACATGCACGTTTCCGCGGTTTCAAAGGTTGGATTTGCATATTGCCTTAGTAACGAATGACTCACGCAGGGCACTTGCTGTTGTCCCCGCTGCTGGGTCTGATAGATTGAAGAGTTAAATCACCTTACATCGATTCCTTCCAGGGCTTTGATGGGGTGTGTGTGTGATGGGGTGGGGGGCAGCTCTACGCTTCCGAAGGAGGATGTGGAAAGATATGCGTTTTTTTATTCTTTTTTTTTAATGTCAGGAAAGACAGTCCAGATAATCCATCAAACGTTCTAGTCCTGCTGGGGTCTGCTAAGATTGGGACCACTCTACCTATATTTTACAGCATAAGTTGTTACATTACATTATTTGCGCGTGTTTTTTTTTTTTTTCAATCTCTTTTGTCCTGCACCTTTGTGTCGGCCAAAGATCACAGAATTACATAGGAAGCCCCAATTCTAGTTTCCCCAAAGTTATATCATCACCCTCCAGATTCCCTATGGAGGCATCCAATTCACTTGCTGCCGCCAGAAGTTTCGGGTGTTGGATTGCAATTTGTCTTGACTTACCAGTTACGGTTTATGATAAGTTACTGGGAGCCCTCACCATGGGGCCTAGATAGTTCTTGAAAGGTGGGCCTTGCTGAGACACTTTTTGAGTTCTGGATTTTGGTTGGTGTTTAAAAAATTAAAGTTATTTTCTTCAAGGAAGGTAGAAGTATGTTTTGTTGAGGATTTTTTTTGGGGGGGGGCCAAGTGTGAATATCCAAAAGAAAAAAAAATACAAATGTAAGCTCCGACCTTGCATAAGAATTTTCCTTTGGATCATTTCCCAAAGCCCTTCATTAAAAGAGATGTTTTTCCCCCTGGCTAGCTGCGTCCTAAGGGATGTGAACGAGTTCTTAGTCATCTGGGTCGCCGGCTAGCAGTCCTTGAAGAAAGGGATGAGGGAGTAGTGGGTAGAGAAAGAAGGGGATTAAAGATAACAGCGGTTTCAGCGAAGGGGGTGGAGAATGGAGGGGGGAAGAGAAGGTAACTGAGCTGCAATGCAGACAGATTTCTCCGTAGACGCTCGTTTTCTTCAGTCTGGCTTAAATCTGGAACTATATTGCCAGAGCCCGGAATGTGTGACGGGCACCAGGAAAGGAGCCTTTGTGAAATTTCATCCTTGCAGACTCTAGGTGTCGCTAGGACAAAGCAAAGGCACTGACTTCCGGATTTTATATCAGACATTTTCTGAACCCTGATTTTTTTTCCTCCTTTCTTCTGATTTTTCTTTTTTTTTAAAACAGCTTGGAGCATATATTCCCTGTTTTTAAATATCACAGATGTCTGGAACTGTTTCTCAGATCATCAAAAGCATTGGACTGAGAAACAAATAAGGGGATTAACATGTGAAAAGGCTTTTTGCTGATTTGACTCTAAAATAGCCCCTTAACTTAATCATTAAGAGTGTAAGGTCCAGCACTAGACACGCTTTTTTTTTCAGAGAAATATGAAGAGCATGTGCTTTTATTGGTCATGTATGTATCTTTACACCATTGTGGGTCTATCTATATATGCAAATGCCTGATACATATGACCAACACATAGCATGCATCCAGTGTATTCAGCATATGCAACCCAGACAGTAATCCAGATCCATTTTCCAATCTGTAGTTAGGCTAATGCCCCAGAGCATTCCCCCCTCAACTATGTCACTGCCTCCCAGTTAAATGTAGCACATTAGACTGTTAGAGATGGATAGATCCAATTTATCTCTTCAAAAGCATTACTTGTATTTCTCCAGGGATTCATTCCAGTCCTTAAGGTTAGGACTTAATTGAAGAGGGGATAAAAGTAATGAAATTTTTCTTTATGAAAAAATTTAAAATCTGAGTATAAGCTCTTACCCTTTCACAAACATAACATGGTATTGCATGCCTCTCTGGGCCTTAATTATTTTGTTTTTTCTCCCATTATATTCAATATTATTAGCAAGGTGATTCACAGCTAAAAAAAAAAAGAGTTATCTTGAAAGAATCCTAAGAAATTGTTTGTTTTGTTTTTTTAAATGAGGCTGGGGAATGATAGACATTTACATATCCTTATTTTAACATGTAACACATTACATGTGTTTCTATGGGGTGTGTATGCATGTCAATATTTGGCAGTTCCAGAAATTTTAAAAATACTGTAATTTTCCATATTTGATTAGCAGATTGCAAGAGTACTACTAAGCCACTTGTTAGCTATCCCAGGTGCTGAAGGGAGCTCCCCTCCCTATCCAGCTCACTAAATCTTTGTCACATTCATCAAAAAAAAGTCAGAACCAATAGGTTGGAAGCTTTATTGCTCTTTTGTGGCCTGTCCCTCACTGAAAGCAGTTAAGCAATCCACCAAGGCAGTTTCCTGACCTTGACCACTGAGATCACTGTAAACATAACTAGTTTCTCTCTTTCCTCCTGAGCAGTTCTTTTTTTTCTGCAACTAAAAACAAAAAGGCTCTCCCCTATTCCCTCAATCTCTTCCCACCCCAAAGACAAATGAATGCAGTTCTGGACCAGATGTGTGTGTGTGTGTGTGTGTGTGTGTGTGTGTGTGTGTGTGTAAATCTCAAATAAAAAAAAAAGTAAGGTAGCCACAAGGGCAAGCATAGAGAAATGAGGTATAAAGGTTGTATGAGGAATAATTAATTGGTAATATATTATCTGTCTGCACAGAATACATTTGAAATGGAAAGAAAGGCTACTTTGTGATTCTATCTAATAATAACCACACTGTTATTACTAATTATAATTAAGAGCCAATGTTTTCACAGGTAATCCTCTTTTGGGGAGGATCGCATCTCAGCTGTAAAGATTTCAATTAGAAATATAAAAGGGTAGTCAGGGTCTCTTTGCTGTCAGATGTTTTTCTTCTCATCTGCCTCTTTTCTTTTTAAGGTAAAACACCTGAATCCCTTCTGGGGAAAGTACTAAACATTCCAGGACTGGGAGAGATGTCTTATATAAGTTTTGAAAGAAGTTGTCTTTTAAAAGAAATGTTTAGCTTGTGTCAGCTTGTAATGCAATATAGTAACTTCTAAAATATAAAATCCAGGAATTGGCTTGTAATGAAATATGGTAACTTCTAAAATATAAAATCAATCACAGTTCATCTCAATTGAGATGCTGAAATTGTCAAAGAAATGTTTAAACAGAACATGACATCTTTAAATCTAAACCGATATATATTTGGTTGGTCTCCCTTTGAGGCACAACTCATAGATTGTTGTTAGTAAAATCCTTTCTCTTCATATACATGTTTCCCCACCTTGGCAGGGGGAACAGGGGCAGTACATAGTAGCCTAACTTGCTATTTAAATGTGACATTAAACTGGGTTAGCCAAACCATTGATTTACCATCAATGCTGCTGCTGTTTAGCCTGTTCCCCACCTCCATCCTTGAGAGATCCTTCTAACTTTGCCATCCATTTTGATAGGTCTTTGGACCCCTGAACCATTTGTTTCATTGATCAGTGGGGGTTCACAGACCCTCTTGTCTGTTCTACATTAACTAATCTCTAGCTGAGTGACATTCTATTATAGTTCATTATCACATGATGATATTTTGGTTTAGAGATTTCAAACTTTCCATGCCCTGCCTTTCTCACCAGGACCTTCTTATCTTCTACTTAGCTATCTTTCTTCAACCAAACAAGTCATCCCTTTTCTCCCACAATTTATTGGCTAGTTCAATTAACCCTTTTCTGATTTTACTTACCTTAGCCAAGCCAGCATAATTAGTCTCTTCAAGAGGCCCTTAGTCATGTCATAGACTCCCCAGTCCCCTTAACCTTCCGCTAAGTAGGACACTCCCACCCCACCTCCATTTTTTCCAATTTCTTTATTCCTGTACTTGGGATACAGAATAATGCTGGAAGAAGAATTCAATATAATGAATTGCCCTATTAGGACTCTATTTTTTTTCTCCTTTCATCTGGTCTTTCGCTACTTCAATGTTTGTTATCCTTAATAAATTCTCTAGCAAACTTCCCAAATTTGTATTATGAATTTCTTCTCTCCTCAGTTCCTCAATACCATTCATTTTCCTTGTTGTTGTTGTTGTTGTTTAGTAGTTTTCAGTTGTGTCTGACTCTTCATGACCCTATTCGGGGTTTTCTTGGCAAAAATACTGAAGTGGTTTGC